ACACAGTTGGATAACTGGTTGGCCTCTGAGAATAATCGACCTTCTTCAAAGGCTGGAGAGCCTATTGAATTGGGAGTGGAGTACGAGAATGAGGGCGCAACTGTCTTGCTGGAGAAACAACAAGTTGAGAAGAATTCAGTTCTTCAAGCGCAGAAGCTGATTCGCGATGCGTCTGAGAAGCGTAAGGATGAACAGGACCAAGCCATCAGACAAGCAATTCGAGAGCTGTATCCCTATTATCCACGTGCGGGTCAGTTGCAAGCATTGAGACAATTGATCTACCTGAGAAAGGACCTTATCCTGATTGCGAAGACGTCATTTGGGAAGAGTATGATATTGCAAGCAGTGTCACTCTTGCTTGATAAGTCTATCACCCTTGTTGTGCTTCCATTGAATCAAATTGGCGTTGAGCAGACCAATTACATCGAGAACATTGGAGGGCGACCTTGTTTCCTAAACAGGGAAACATTCTCATCCGAACTTCTTGACAGGGTACAAGCGGGCAAGTTCACACATGTCCTCGTGAGTCCAGAGCTTGCAATCAGTGACAAGTTCCGTTCAACTGCTATGCATCCAGGTTTCCGAGACCGGCTGGCTCTGGTTGTTGTAGACGAAGCTCATCTTGTGGCTCAATGGGGCAAAGATTTTCGAACGGACTATGCGCGATTGCATCAATTGCGAAGTCTATTCGGCAGTGGCGTCCCCTGGTTTGCATGCTCTGCTACGCTTGATATGAATACATTGCGCGTTGTTATTGAGGGACTTGGGTTTCCAAAGGATGTTGAAATCTTGCGGACATCCGTCAATCGTCCAGAGTTGCTCATTCAAACAGCTTGGATCCCACAAGGCGCGCATAAGAAGGCAACGGCCTTGCGTTTCCTGTTTGACAATGGTCCTTGTCAGCCCATTTTACGACCGTCACGAATCCCAAAGACATTGGTATTCTTTGACTCGAAGAATGATGCATATACTGCCATGGAAAATTGTCGGTATTGGCTGCAGCATAACAAGCAACCAGATGGGGCAAGTGTTCAACATTGCAACTATACCCTCAAAGAGGCAATGGATACGGTGAAGGTCTACCATAGCGACACCGCAAAGGGAGACAAGGAAGCAATGATCAAAGAGCTTCAGAAACCCGGACCGCAATCCAAGCTTCGTGTCCTCATGACCACCGAGGCACTAGCGCTCGGAGTGGACCTCCAGGATATTGATCAAGTTGTCATGTATCGGTTCCCCAAAAACCTACAACCAGCAACGCTCTGGCAACGCGGTGGTCGGGCATCTCGCCTTGGACAGGATGGAAAGATCGTTATTCTCGTTGATCAGTGGATACAGGGGCGTATCAAGAAACGTGCCGTGAAACGCAAGATTCATACAGAAAATGATGATCTAGCGGAAGACAACCCACTGGCCGATTCAGATGATGAAGTCAAAGAAGCAAACCCTGAGAGACCACAGAAAGGTGGACGCTTAAGTCATGAAGAGCGACGTGCTGTGTTGCCTGAATTTTGGTATCTCCTTGCCAATGAGCCTACAGAATGCCTCCGGAAACGGTTCCTGGACTACTTCAATGAACCTGAAGAGTTCAGATGTAATCCTCGGCGTGACCGGTGCTGCAGCAACTGCAATCCTGAGTATCAGCTCAATGATCCAACTCGTTATCTGTATACTGAGCACGGTCCGAGGTCAGGACAGATGGACGAGATAATCATCAACCAGTTAAAATATTGGTCCAAGGAGGTCCTTTCAAGCGCTTTGAACGGAGTGAAGTTCATACCTGATTGCTCAAGCATACTGGCAGAAGAACAATATGTCCATCTTGCGATATATATTGAAAATGCCACCTATTCGGAGCGGGAATATTTCCAGGCAAAGGATCTTCAGACAATATTGGGAATATGGGCTTTGTCGAATCAGCTTGCTGAGGGTCTTGTGGATGTCTTGAAGAATGCATATCAAGCAGCCTTTATGGCCACTATTCAAACCCCTGCAAAGAGGAAGCGTGTGTCGAATGACTCTAGTCAAATGAGTGAATGCAGCAACCTCACATGGTCTTCTGCAGTCACGCCAGAAAGCACCAGTCAACCAACTCCATCTCGGAATATCTCTCCGTGGGTTGATATTAACACGCCATCCCAAGCTTTTATGGACATGCCTCCTCCTTCGGCAACTCCAGTTCCCAAACGCAAGGCCCTCGGTGTGGTATCAGGAAATGGGCGTCGCGTGATGAAGGGTGGAGAAGACCTAGGTTCTAAGGTCTGGTAGAGAATGATGAACAATCCATCTGATGCATTCCATCAATGTGTGTCAGTCACCTTATAATATAGCGTGGGAGTATTATCAATGGAATGAAGAGAAGTATAGCTAAAGCTGTCCCGGCAGCAACCTGCTATTCAGTGTCATGTGTCATTCTCTTCAATCTCATCTAGAACAGCAATAGGAGTCGATGTCATCTTGCTAAAATCAACTTCTTGTGCCCACTGTCCGTTGACGACGAGGCTATTGAAGTTCTGTACGGCTTTGAAGAGCTTTTCGCCAATTGTTTCTGTGAGTATATCACATGGTTGAAAGCCTCTTGTCCGACCATTTGGTTGCTTTTGGATGCACTTCGAGATCTGATAAGCTAGATGACGAACATCCTGGCTAGCATCCTTATTTTGGTGTCGCCCATTGCTATATTCTCCAAAGGTAGCCTCCAGAAGCTCCTTTAGATCAGTACAGTAGCTGGCTGTGAGAGCAGTTCGACGGAACATGGTAGTGATGTCCAGATTTGAGGTCCGTCGAGTCGACATGAGTGTCTTCATATGAAGATTGAAGAACTCATTCAGTCGATCAATTTCGAACCAACCGTCCTCCGCACCCCGTAGATTCACAAGTCCGTTGGCAAGAATGGCAGTCTGCAGCTCGGGATCAGCTGCTTTGGTTTGAGTGAGCCATGTCATATACAAGGAGAGGAAAGAATATCGGGTTTTCTTTGTGCCAGGGAAGAGGAGACAACATTGTGCAAAGATCCGCTGGATAATTCCAATGTCACCAAGTTTGATGGCAAGCTTCAAGGACTTGTAAGTCTCCATCTGCTGAAGGAATTTCGCATGTGCTGAGAACTCATAGTCGACTGGTTCTCCTTCTCGTTCACGAACCTTAGACTGCTGCTCTTTAAAATGGAACAGAGACTGGCGTATCTGATCCACAACGTCCAGGAATTGACCCCTTCCGAGGCTTTGAATCCAATCATCCACATCTTTAGCATCCGCGAAATTGACTGTTAATGGGACAAACTGATAGAACATGGCCGTGACGCGAGCGTCAAATGAGCGAGTAGCCACCTCTTCTTTATGGTGGAATGGACTTTTGTGTCCCTGTACGCAACCGAGACAGACCTTATTATGATGGATCGTCGATTCAACGGTAGGGTGGTCTGTCCCAGCATAGAGCTCAAAGATCATATCCAAGTAGTTCATACGCCAGTGGAACAGTCCGGGGATTGGCAATATCCAGCTGAAACGATCGAAAAGACGAGAAGCCTCCGCACGTTCTTTTTTGACGGCACGAAGGAGTGACACTGTTTTCTGATCTCCATAAACCAGTTGTAAAAGCCCATCAAGGTCTGTATCATCATCATCCCCCAGTTGCTCCAGAAAGACATTCTGAATGACCTTGTATGTCCCCTCTGTCGTGCCTTCGTTGTATAACATTGGCCCAAGGCTGTAGTGAATTGTCTTCTGCGCTTGCAGTCGTTTAACTGCTGGGAATTCAGGCCAGTCAATAAGATGGGCTCGCGGTTTCATCTGGCCTGGTTTGACGCACGCTTCCGCAGTAAATAGTTTCTCTACTGCCTCCCGATGAGTATAGCGAATGGCCTCTGCAATCCAATGGCGCTGACATTGATGGAAGATCTCATCATCCTGATTGCCTGGTGCCATGTAGATATCATGAGGACTCAGTGCAACCTCTGGATGGAACATAGATCGGAGAAGCCCTCCTGCAGGGATGGACTGACCGATACAAAGCTTGCCAGTGGTGGCGGAGATATGCTCTGATGGATCACGAATAGTTTGATGTCGAACAGTCTGGCTGTAGTCAAAGTTATCCCATGCCACAATGAGATTCCTGCGAGAAGCCTGGGCATTCTGTTTCAATTGTTTCTGTACACATCTTGGGGTAAGAAGTCAGCCAGAACATGTTATTCTCCGGTAAATGCGGTTATAGTACCTGTCCTAGTTCTGCAAGTTCCTTCCGTCTGTCCATGATAGTCTGGTATGCTGAGTTTATCCCCAGGCCAGCCAGAAAGCTAATCACACGTCGCTTGACACCCATTGCATGTAAATACAAGCCGATCAACATCGGGAAGTTGTTGCTTTTCCGTGGTGCAAAAGCGCAAGCCAGAATTGAACAGACCATCACAATGCTGCCCTGGTGGATCTTGGGTGTATCGCGATGGTTTCCTGGAGGTGTCATGATGCTAACGAGCAGTCCACAGAGCTCTGGAGCTTTCCTCTGCATCTGCGTAGCCAAGCTAGAGATGTCCATATCTTTAGGGTCCACATTGGACTGGAACTCGCCGAGTATATCTCCGTTAATCAGCCCTCGAATCTCGGTCTGTATCCGAGACACGAGATCGGATGCACCAGTGGCATATATGTCTTTTGAGACACTACCTAGCCGCTCAATAATTTCAGGTTGCCCATATATAGCGTCAGACAATTTCTGTGCTCGATACGATGTCGAATATCCATTTTTTTTGACTGGTTGTGCATGCACCATGTGGTAAAGAAGATCCTTGATTGTCCACCGGTGCTTATCATTAAGCTCAGCCAGTACCATATCGACACGTTCGCGTGGCTGCAATCCTGAGATATAACGAGATCGCTGAGTAGACGCAGGTGGTTCTTGTAATGGTGAACTGGAAGAAGGCCACTCGAGGGAGGATTGTCGAGCACGCTTTCGCGATCTAGAGATCATATTGGGCAAATCCGGTGATGCCATTCTTTCTAACAATGTCAGAAATACTCTCAGAGAGCTTGAGAAAACACACCTTGACCAAATGGTGGGGTTGCTGGCGAGAACCGGAAACTTGTATGTACGGAAGGGGTTCCCGGCTCAGACCACAGGCTGATGAAGTGGGTCAGCGTGGCAGAATCGGCAGAATTCTGTCTCATCATTGGCTGTGGTCTGAGGGAACTGAGGTAAAATAGCGTGAACTAGGGGTAATTGAAATACAGAGTCATTGAGATCTCCAATGGGTTGGGCACAATACAAGAATTGACAGTTATGAGCCCGGTTCGCCGTCATTAGGACCACTGCTATCACTTGAAGCTATTCACAACGACATAGACACCGAAAGCAGCTCTGATCGACCCCAAAACCCTGAATACCCTCATCCCAACGAGCCACCTACCTCCTTGAACGCCTGTTTCGAAGCACCAGAAGCAGCAATGGAGGCGAGATCGATGCCCTCCGCTGTGAGAAGCGACAAATTGAAAGACTCGTCACAATGGCGAGCATGGTATATGCAAATAAAGGCTTTTGCAGCACAAAGAACAGTCTGGGATCTCTGTAACCCAGACACCGACGAATTGCATCGTCCAAAGGCTCTGGAAGAGCCAATTGAGCCTGAATACCCTGAGGAAGGAAACGAAAAGACCCTGAAGGCCTGGAGAGATCGCTTGGAGATCTACAAGATCAAAGCGAAGCGCTGGGAAAAGCAGCAAAAGGGTCTGAATGAAGTGAATGATTATATCATCACTTACCTGGACAACTCCCTACGTCTCAGTGTCCTCATATATGATACGCCTATCGGACGCTTAGCATACCTCAAGAAGCGCTTTGCCCGATCTTACGTGTATGAGGAGGAAGTGCGTATGAAATGGAAGGCTTTCTCTTCTCAAAGGCCTACTGGAGACGTCGAGAAATGGCTGTTCGACTGGAATGACCTACGAGAACAAGCTATTAACCTCGAACTTGACGAGGTGAAGAGTGCAAACAAGGACTTCCTCTATGCAATCAAGGATGTCTCACCGGTTTGGTGGCAGGCGTATCACGAGAAGATCATCGTGAAAGGCAAATCAATCGATACACCGGACCTGATTGAATCTTTTCGAGCGTCATACCAGGATGCGGGACCTAATAGAGCGACACCCTCTCCGTCGGCAATGAAGGGCTCTTTTTCTACTTGGCAAGGTCACCAAGAAGCAAGGAGTGGCACCAAAGACGTAAGGGGTGGGAAGAATGGCAAGAATGAGACGCCATTCGACAAAAGGCCATGCCCTTGCGGACGAAAGAACCAAAAACACAATGCCGTTAATTGCTTTATCGTGAATGAAGCAATTAGACCCGACTGGTTCATTCCAAACAAGGAAAACTTGCAAAAGGTCGAGAAAACGCTCTCAGCCGACCCAGAATGGAAGAAATGGATATTTGAAGCCATTGAAAACGCTAAAACGCCATCGAATGCGGTCCAATTGAGGAGCATTGACACTCCACAGCCAACGAAGATAGCAGAGAATATGTCCTTTGCTAGCAGAGCATTCGGATCTCACTTCGCTGATTCTTCATTTAAAGAGCGGTGGATTCTTGACACTGGATCAGGTGTACACGTCTTCTCAAAAAAGAGTCGATTTGTGAATCTCCAACCATGTAAGGAGACTTTAGCGACTGGAGACGGTACCACTGCTGTCCTCGGACGCGGGACAGTCAGACTGACTGGCGTGGACCCGATATCGAAGCAAGAAAAGACAATCACGCTAAGCAATGCCTGCTATGCACCTGGTTTTCACGTTAACTTAGTGTCGTACGCAAGGTTGCGAGAAAAAGGAGGCTTTTGGTCTGAATCTAGAGGCTATATACAAGATCACCAAGGAATCCCTATAGTCAGCCTGAGACTATGGCATCATGACGGATTATGGGTCTTTGACCAACCAAATGAAGACATTCGCAACTCTGCGAATGCTGTGAGATCTTCCTCGACACCACTGCAAGAAAAGGCATCGGCTGATCTATGGCACCGGCGCCTAGCTCACATTCAGCACAAAACGGTGCATCAAATCCAGACTATGGTCGACGGAGTGATCATTGAAGGCAAAGAAGACGCCTATAAGATGTGCGAGACATGTCAACTCGGAAGGTCAAATCGCCAAGTGTCAAGAAGACCAATTGGACGGGTTTTCGGACGTCTTGGGAGAGTGCACTTTGACCTAATCCAGCTCCAAAAGGCTTACAATAAGCATCATTGGATCTCTCATTTCTATATTGAAGGTATTAGGTTTCACTGGATCCTAACGCACGAATATAAGCCCGAATGTCAGCTTGCAATCAATCAATTCGTGCAATTGGCCAAGAATTGGTGGAACCTACCTATCAAGGCTTTCAACTACGACAATGAAGCGGCAGCTGGACGGCCGGCGGAACGGAGTTTGACGTCAGACGGTATAGTGGTCTATCATAGCCCACCTCGACACCCTGAAATGAATGGCCATGCTGAACGGTCAGGGGGTGTCATCGTGCTCCGCATGCGAATGCTGATGATAGAGGGAAAGCTCCCTAAGGAACTATGGCCAGAAGCTGCAAGGGCAGCAGTATGGCTATTGAATCGGACTCCAACGTACCTGGCAAACGAGAAACGCTGGATTATCCCATGGGGAGAAGTGATGAAGGAGTTCGCAAGCACTGATAAAACGGTACCAAGAATCAACCTATCGAACGTCAGGTTGTACGGGAGTCTTGCCTACTGTCGTATCGACAAGCAAGTTCAATCAGATAAGATGAATCCTCGCGCTGAGGTAGGATTCCTGGTCGGCTATATGGCTTCAAATGTGTGGAGAATATGGTTCCCACAGAGTGGGAAGGTGAAGCTTATTAGAGACGCAGTTTTTGATGAATCGCGCCGCTATATGCTTGATTTTCAGCACTTCCAACCTATTCCAATGCCATTGGCTAAAGAACCCAAGGAACTGGATCAATCGGAAGCTGAAAGAGCCTTCCAAGCATCGATATCAACTGGGTCGATGCCAGAATTCGAGATAGGAAGCACCAACAATGAAGACTTAGATGAAGCAGAAACCCCGAAAACCAACAGAGAGGTTTTTTCAGCTGAAAAACAGTCTCTATCTAGACATCAGGGGGTGTATAGCACACCCGATCGGCAAATTGAAGCTACTGAAGCTATTACCGAAATTCCCGGAGCTTTTCCGCAAGAGATACCGCTACCTCCGACTCCACCTTATGAAGATCCTGTAACTGGTCAGGGGGTGGAGACAGCATCGGAAATGCTCGCAAATGACCAGTCACAGGAGACCCAGGAGACGTCTATCGACATCGTCACCGATTCGGACGGAGACGCTGAATTGCAGCTACAAGCGGAGCTTCTTATACCGCGAGAGCTCGCCCCGAGAGACATCAACAGTGACGTGAATGAGGCAAATATAGTGACTGGCTCGAGAAGAAGGACAGCAAGATACGACAACGCATACAGCACAATAGAACCACCAGCTTACCTCCATGCATTCGCAGCAGGCCTATACGCTGAGAAACCAATACGACATCATCGGGATGATCTCCCTGAGCTTCCGAAGCACTGGAAGGACGTCATGAATCATTCATTCCAAGGATTTGTGACAATAGGAAAATGCTGGAAACTTCAGAAAGCCCTATATGGACTAAGAATCTCACCGCGCCTGTGGCAGCAGGAAGCGGCAAGAGTTCTTATGAAATTAGGGTTCCGACAGGTCCCAGAGGATCCATGCGTCTTTATAGCAGACAGCATTATTGTCTTCTTCTATGTCGATGATATACTGATAGCAAGCCATCGACTCGCGAGAGAGAGAGCTAATCAACTGGAAAGGGATCTCGAAGCACATTGGGAACTTACTAACCATGGAGAAGCAGAGTGGTTCCTGAATATACGCATTATTCGGGATCGGAGTATGAAGAAGCTATGGCTTTGCCAGGATAGCTACATTACCAGCGTGGCAGCTAGGTATAACCTCACTGATAGACCACCAGTGTCTACCCCATTGCCAATTGAAGAATTGAAGTCTTATGAAGGCTTAGCAAGTGCAAAGGAGATCCACCTATACCAGCAAAAGGTCGGATCAATGGGATACGCCACCACTATCACTCGGCCAGATGCAGCAAAAGCAACTGCGAAGCTTGCTCAATTCCTGACCAATCCAGGACCACAGCATCAAAAGGCAGCAGACCGAGTAATCAGCTACCTTTACACGACAAGATATCTCGCCATTGAGTACAGTGCTCAATTGGACAGCGAGATTGACTCGGTGCAGCTAGCGAGTGACGCGTCATATGGAGATCACGAAGATAGGAAGAGCTCTGCAGGCTATATCTGCCAGGTCTATGGAGGCCCGGTAGACTGGAAAGCCACGAAGCAGCGAACGGTGACTACCTCCACTACAGAAGCAGAGCTCTTAGGACTGTCAGAAGCAGGAAAGCACCTCCAATGGTGGAGGAGGCTATTAGGACAAGTTGGTTTTGATCCCTCTCACGTTATCACCATTCAATGCGACAACGAGAGAGCAATTGGACTGATCACAACTGAAGACGCGAGTTATGACACCAAACTCCGACACGTGGACATTCATCATCTCTGGCTAAGACAGGAAATAAGAGCTCGGCGTATCGCTGTACAATGGGTGCCGACGGCCAACATGGTCGCGGACGGTCTCACGAAATTGCTATCGAGACAGCAGCATGAGAAATTCGTCAAGCTACTCCGCATGGTCAGTATTCAACATCTGATCATGCAAAGCTAGTCCATCATAGGCAATTGGAAGCTGTTTGGGTGGAAGGATGCAGATTCGAAGGATTGTCAAGTTCAGCGGCTCAGTAAGGACTGAGGCCACTGAGGGGGTGTGTCGGCATTACCTTACGAATACTGCAAGTGACCGGATCTAGTATTGATCCGATGCATCTGATTATGTAACTAAATTGAAGCATAAATAGCGTGAACTAGGGGTAATTGAAATACAGAGTCATTGAGATCTCCAATGGGTTGGGCACAATACAAGAATTGACAGTTGTGGGCCGGCGGCCCCTAAACTTTATCTCAATTACCCTCCACATCTTGATTACGACTGTAGCGAGAGAGAATCTTTCTAGTACACTGCTGGTCTGTTCCAATACCCCATACATGAACAGGTCGAAACTCTCGTGATTCTGCCCCAATTCTCTGGGCTTCTCTTTTGGGCTGTAGGGCTTAATCACGAGCAACCTAGAAAGCAAGTGAGGCAGTAGCCCGGGCCTGAATCCTTCATGACCACCGCATTCTCTCACCGAGCAGGCGATTCCATGGGTCTTCCAGACTAAGTGGTGGAAATGATTTGCGGTTCCGCTGATGATCGTCAGCTGCGCTCGTGATTCCACGGTCTCTGTCTAACTAATTTCCTCCTGACTTGGGTGTAGTTTAAAACAAATCGTACGCTTCACCCCAAAGATTACCCTGCTTTCGACCATCGACCCTATCAAATCCAAGCAGTCGTATTACCTTGAGCCAACAAGAATGCCGTATTTCCATTTTCCTAGGGCCCCCTTGCTACCATGTCCTGTCTCCCTACGGGAACACTCATAGTATCGTAAATCCTTATATGCTGTCCGCAGTATTTACCGGGCCACATAACACTCCGATGAAATCCTCCTGGTTTTGCATGACAAGGATGAAAATGTGTAGGCGGGTCTGTTCCAAGGGCACCACCATCGTGCTCGAGTCCTTTGACTTTGGGACATCCTCTATATTATTGTCATTCCAAAGAAGGGCGATTGCTACTACCTCTACGGAATACATGGAACGATATACAACTACGCTTATATTCCTCATGCTGAGGCTTCGTTGCTGATCACCGCCTTTATTATAGTAACATTTACTTGGACTCGTGTATCGTGGTAGTTGGCCACTGTTCCTTGGACATCGCTATGTAGCGATCCAGCCGATGAATGCTGCTAAAGTGCACGCTCTGTTCGCCGGTATCTCAGCTTCCTAGCAGCACAGACACGATGCACATAGTCCCACCTCCAGGATGACGACCGTGTTCTTTTAGGCCGGCACGGAAGCGGTGCTGGCTGTGCTGGACCCTAACAGATCATTCTGATTTCTCCTCCAGGCTAAAATTCAAACCTCCTTGATCCACTGTCCCTTGGGCCGACGATGAGATTCCAATCGTCGGTCCGCATTCAAGCGCAGTACTTTCGACCCCTTAACGAATCATTTCACATCCGTCTCTCCCTAGATACACGTCAACAGAACGTCGTATTTCAACATCAAGAATTCGAACCAGTGTCATCTGAATTCACATTGCAGGAACCGTTCCACTTCCAAATTGTACATAGCCTCAATCCGGTGAAGAACTCTCTGTGTGTGTTTCGGCAGCGACAGAAATCGGTCTTTGAGACCTTCGAGGCGCATTCTTGACGAAGAAGCTTGGTTTTTGAAATTTCGTCTTGGCTGCGCTCGACGGCGCTCTGACTTTGGGAGTCTATCTTCCAGGAACTTCAAGAGACGGCGAAGCTTCTCCGCACTTGGAAGTCCGCCGATACAGAGAGAGAATTCAATGGCGACGCGGTTCATTTGGAGGAGAGATTCGCGATCCTGTGAAAGACGGTGGACAGCAGCGTGGCGGATGCCAGAAACCAATCTTTGCCATTTTTGTATGGTGTTAGCGGCTTGACGGCAAGAGCTACACTGTATCTTGTCCCGATGTTTGACCAAGAATTTGAAAAGACCGTGTAGCTCCAGTTCCTCTGGGCATGTCCACCCAACCATGAGAGACTCCTCTAAAAGCCATTTGTGAACGAATTGAAATGCATCGAATTCAAGATGTCGCTGTATGGCTTGGAGAATAAGATTTTGTGCACGGAAAGGGATGCTTGTTATTGGAACTCCAAGAAGTGAGTATAGACCTTGTAGGACTGTTGTTCGAGCCCATAGATTAGTTGGCGCGCTCCTAAATTTGTAACTTGAACTTACTGAAGATGGTATCGATCTTCCCTCGGCAACATTCAATCAATTGTTTTACCAATCTGAGAGCAGTGCGTTAGTAACAACTTCCAAATTGAGAAGATTTGTCGTGAGTTCTTACCGCTTACTCACAGGATGAAATAGCCAAGAAGATCTGGTCGAAGTGCCTCCGGCCACATACCGACTTACTGTGAAAGGAACAGTGCTAGTCTCGGACTGGCCTTGTTTGTTGGTCGCTGTATCATTCTGGTTCCACTGCATAGAGGCACTTGGATGCGATCGCACTTCATACGATTGGCCGCCGCGCGGAACATCCTTGGCTGTCAAAGCTTGGTCTTCCGGCAGTTTTGGCACCTGTACATGGAACGTTCCTTGTCGCTGGTGCCGACTTTGACGCCTTGGGCGTGCCATCCTGGGAAAATTGAGAAGACGATTGGTCTCCTTGGTGGGAGAGCAACTGGAATATTAATGGGACTGAGTTTTACAAACAAATTGCCATGTGCCTGAGTGAATTTAAGGGTTATTAATTACGGGATCCATGGAATCATTGTCTGCGTGCGACCAGGGTACCAGCAGAATGTGGTAGTATCGTTGCAGTCTCGCGAGGTGGGTGGCGATCGACGAGGAACCAGATCCTAGCCCTTGGTAACTCAACTGGTTCACATGGTTGTCCTGAGAACTGGGCTGGGGTTCCTATCGTTGGCTTTGCAACAAGGTGCAAACTTTAGTCTACTTTCTGTCTAAGGAAGACAATCATAATCTGGGATTTGGGGCTATTTTCGTCGTATCTGTGCCGCCAGGTAACATAAATCACGTTGATGGCAAAATGAGTTGGCTGCAAGCAGCCATAGGAGATAAATTTCCCTCATAAAGTGCGGTGCTGTAGCATGGAAATAGCTGATTCAAGTGGTGCTCTGAAAAAGAAGCCAACCACGGATATAATTGAGAGTGACTGCCGGCCTCAAAATCTCCCAAACTGTAACTTGAGCTTCCGTTGAAGCACTTCAACCTCCATTATCGAGAAGGTGGGACTTTCTGTGGCCGCAGTTAAATACAATCTCTGGCCAGCCCAGCAGAAAGAAGAAGCTTGAATTAAAGCAGCCTAGGCAGATCTTGACTTCTTCACTCGTCGATATATTAGAAGTTTGAACACAGCCGAAATTTGCCTCTGATCAACGTTGACCTTATTAACAGTTCAACGCCGCCACCTAAGAAGCACAGCAGTTACTCACATCAAAGGTCATCATATCGATTTAAAAAATCGTTATTCTTTGTCTTCGGGCAGCCTCGCTATTCGGAAAAAAGGTGTCACTTTTGCCTGCAAATACTCAAAGACATCCAGAAAAATTTGATTGTACTTCGATATTGTATAAGAAAGCAAGATGCTAACGGGCTTCATAACACTAAGGTGTCATAGAACATCGAATCTTGACTATGATGGAAAGGGTTATTAGAAGCGTTCAATTTGGATAATGATTATTACGGCCACCTTTTCAACACCTCAACAGCTCAACACCACCTAGCTGAACCAGATTCTGCGACCCTTATTACATATATAACATGGTCGACTAAATTCTCAAGTGCCTTTTATTCTGCTTCAGGTTGTCTATCGCCTGATACATAACGACCAACAGCTTTTGGTCCGTTTAGCCCAAGCAAATTGGAGAAATCCCTTCATCCATTCTATTGAGTGACAGGTCAGCCATCTATCCAAGCATCTCGCGATGTCTCTTCTCTCTCTCCCACTGGAAATTATTTTGCTCATTTCAGAAAATTTGGACTCGCCAAAAGACCTCCTCAGTTTCCTCCGAACAAGCCAAAAGTTCTACCATCTCTTGATCAATGAGCTCTACCAACATGATATACGCTTGAACGGTGGATCGGCCCTTTTATGGTACGCAAGTCGTGGGGACGAACTTGGAGTCCGGAATATGCTTCGTGCGGGTGCGGATGTTAACATCCGATCACCAACTCGCGCACAGTCGACAGCTCTTCTGGAAGCGGCTTCTACCAAGCATACCAATGTTGTACAAGCCCTTCTAGAGAATGGGGCTTTACCAGATGTGGCCGATGCCCGATCTAGACGACCCTTGGTTTTGGCGACAAATGGTCGTAGCGACGTGGCGATCACCAAGTTGCTCCTAGATCACGGCGCCATAGCCAGTTCCGTTGCGTTTGACAAACATGCTCCATTACGGGAGGCTGTCCGTTCAAACCAGGAGTCCAAAGTGGCATTGCTTTTGAAGCATGGGGCTGATACACATATCTTGGACCGCCGAACTGGGATGAGCCTCGTGCACCTCGCGGCTTCCAAGAACGCTACCCCCGGAATTATCAACATCCTCATCGGCTCCGGTGTTCAATTGGAGTCTCAAGACAACATGGGCAGAACGCCACTTCAAGTAGCAGTTGACCATTCATGCACCCGCGCTGTGCGCCTGCTATTAAACCTTGGCGCCAATCCAAACTTCAAAAACAATAATCAGTATTGGAAAGGGTGGAGCGCACTTTTCTACGCTGCAAGAAATCCAAGCATTCCAGGGAATGGCAGAAAAAGCATCATTCGAGCGTTATTTCTACATGGGGCTGAGCTCGATGCTAGAAATCACGCTCAGAAGACGCCTCTACTCCATGCAATCTCTAAGAGCGCCATAAAACAGGCGCAAGCTCTTGTCGAATGTGGTGCCAGTATTATGGTTACAGACGCCAATGGAGAAACGGTCCTCCATGTGGCTGCTTCCTCATCGAGCTGGTGTCCCAGTATGGTGGGCTGGCTTGTTGAAAACGGCGCTGATGTAAATT